GAAAGAGCTTCAATCTATGAGATTATCAGATGAGGACTAGAATAAAAACAAGTGACATGGTGAAAAGAAGTACAAGGAAAGACACTAGGAAATATGCAGTCGGACAGTCTTTGTAAAGAAGCATCAGTCTTCAAAAACTAGGCAGGGGAGACTAGATTACATTAATTTTGCCATCACTCCAAATTGTAAGTGATTAACCACAGACTCCTACTGTTCTTGTGTCACGCAGAATCCCCGCTGCAGAGGAGGAGCACACTGATGCATCACCTCCACCCCTCTGCCAACAAACTCTTCTGAGACCAGTTTCTCCCTCAAAGCTGTTCTGGTGAGCACTCAGCAGAAAAAGAAATATCCTACCACTGGCCCAGGTGATAGTTTGAAAATGAGGTTTTCTTATATTGTAGGTTGAAATAGAGATCTTTTCCAGATACATAGTTGAAAGCATTGATTGTTTTGTTACTGTCCAGGAGTAAAAAAGGTAGTTTCTTACAGCTGAATAAAAGAATTCACAATTGGTATATAATAAAAAACACACTTGATAAAAAAATCTCAAGGAACTAAGACAAAAGGTGCCCACGTTATCTTAGAAGTCAGGTAAAACAGGAACTATTCCACCAAAATGCCTATTAACTGGGGGGGAAGTGTTTTCCAGTTTAACTCCTCCTTATAATAGAGTTTCAGAGGTAGGTGTATCAGTGAAAAAGGTTTGTGACTGACAGCTATGTACGCATGTGTTTTCAGGGGGCTGGCAAAGAACACATGGCCCCAAAGCATAAGGATGAGTGGGAAGTGGGAGAAACAAGGCTGCATTTTATTACCATTCAAAGGAAGTAAAACTACCTCTTGGCCTCCTTGCTCCAACGCAGCTTTATGATTCCTACAGGTTTCAAGCCCTTATCCGAAAGGCAGTGTTTTGAAACACAAGCAAAGCCTTTCTGCATTTTCGCCTTGCTGTACAAGTTCAGTTGATAATCATGAAAGAAAGCCCCTCCTGCATGGTATGAAACTAGTTGTACCAATTATATAGAGATGGGTGAATAGTCACTTCTTTGGTTCACTGCCAACCCAAAGGAAAACTTGAAACAAAACCAACCAAACAAAACCTTTGCTTTTCCTTCAACAGAACTACAAAAAAAAAAATTAAAATGTCTTTTCCTAATAAAGAATATTTCAGGTCAAACAGAACATTTCAGGCTGTTAGATCAAACTAAATTAAGTGTGGGTAGCCAAAGAGTGGGGCTAGGAAGCGAGTGGCCCACTCATGATATGGAAGGTCCAAGTTCAGATCCGAACCACCCATCCAAGGGGACATGTGCACCTAAGGACAGGGTGTTGACCACATGGTTACATGGGAATTTGGCTGTCTGTATAGAATACTTGCCATCACAAAGGTACCGTTTTGCTCAGTGGAGAGCTCACATAGGCGAGTGGGCTGCCCAGACACTATTTCATTTCTCGCAGATATTTATTTACACAGCTCAGAACATCAGTAGCAGAAGAGATGTCAGGAAGCAGCTCCCACGAGCACTGCTGTCCAGGACCTGGTCCTCTGGGGCTCTTCCACACCATATACAATGTAAGAGGCAACTATCCATACCACTACCCTGAGAGGTCTGGACTACAGATTCAGACTAGCCTCAAACAGGAGAGGAACTGGAATCCCCTCATCTAATGAATTATAAAAATAAATCACTGCCATCTCCTCTGGAGAACTATGAATATGGGTCTGAAATTTTCCCTTTCTCCAGCCAAAATGATCAAATTCATAACAGGTTCACTGTCCAGTTACCCAACAACTGAAGCTCCATTTGGGAGGCATGTTTACTGTTTTATATAAGCGAGTCCATCACCCTGTGAACCATGCTGTTCTTGCTGTTCCTCCTTCCGCCCTCCCAGAGGTCTGGCTGAGAAGCTGGCTTGCCTTGTCCCCATCCCCCTCAGCTAGATTAAAACAGATGGCAGAGGGACATGAAATAGGGAGCAAACACAGATGAGTAACTAATTTTCCAAAAGGAGGGGAAAAAAAAAAAAAAAAAAAAAAAAAAGAAAAACGAACCCAAGCCCTCAACTTCAGCACCAGAAGCAGCGAGGAATGCCTAATTACCTTCTGAACATCATTCTTCCGTATAAGCAAATGCAGCAGTTGCTACAGATATGACAACAAGCAGGGGAGGTATCCTCCAGGCAAGCTCGACAAGCAGCGTAGGACTACACTGCAGCCCAACAGTTGCAAGCAGAGAGCATGGTAAAGGCACCAAGGAGCACATCGAAAACTAACCCCACCTCTGTAGCCACCCTGCTTCCCAGGTGGGTTTTGCCAAGCGCTCTGCCTATGATTACCTGGCTGAGTTTAAAGCTAGCTCAAGCAGTACCTCCCCAGGAGCCACAGCAACACCTTTGAAATGCAGGAGGCAAAGGAGCTGCCCCTTGTGACAGAGGCACAGCGATCCCCGTTATGTGAGGCTGTCACATTTGGGCTTGAAGAGTCTGGTATTTTGCAGACTGGAAAACACAGAGCACTTAGTAATGCTCATGAAGTAACGAAGCAAAATCAAAGCCTTCTGGAGGGAGATGTGTCAAAGGACTTATAGCCAGCACACGCTGCAATTTATACAGCCTCAATAGGAAACATGAAGGTGAGTTAATTACACCAGGGAGACGAGGACAGGAGCTATTTCAGTGCTTCACTCTGCCCCCTTGCCAGAGATTACTGCCTTTGTTCTGGTCCCAATGGAGTCGGCGCTTATATCTCTCTTGTCAGCACCCAGTGGCACAGGGCAAGGTCGCCTTCCCTAGCACCTTGAGCAAACCCTCAGACTTTGCATTTCAGCTGCTTCAGTGGAAGCACTGCCTCCCTCCTGTGGATTTTGCTCCAGGAGCAATAATATGACAGGGCAGACATATGGGGTGGTAACTTTCCAGGCTAAGCCTGTCAGACTTTGTCATTTTAGCCGTTTGGGATTATATCTGTTGGCTGAAAGAATTTAAAGAGCCATCCAGAAAATTAAAGCAAACATCATCTTTGTTATGCCCGACACAAAATATACGGCAGGGACCTTTAGACTGGAAACGTGGCTAAAAAAAGCATCAGATGCAGGTTTACTGCGCAACTTCTGCGTCTTGCATTCGAGGCACAGAAATGGACTTTTTTTTGCCATTCTGTAAGAAATCAGAGCGCCTGTGCTCAGGCAATAAATGGATTGTATATCTCTAAGCTGGAGGCATGTATTGTCCGGGACACTCAGATTTGTTTCCTCCTGTGTTATACTGATATCCAGGGCATGCTGCAAAGCCTGCCTATTTACCCATGCTTGTCCTGGGGGGTGCTTGGGAAGCAAAATTCTGTATTATCTTTAGTTCCTATTAGTTCAATAGATTTATCTGTGATTTTGTAGTTACTTGTGGTCTGTGTTTCTAGAAATGGGTCTGTTATGACCTTCTACAAGGGGTAATGATAAATAACTCCAGTTAACCGAGCCTCAAGCAGCAAAACCTAAACAGCTTTTGAGTTACTCCTCCAGCTTACCCATACATTTCAAGTCCAGAGCGTGCTCAGTCTGGTGGACTGAGACAGTACCACCCAAAATAGGGAATCCAAAGCATTACTTCAGCATGCACATATGAATATTTGCTGACAGATGAAGAACTGGAAATAACCTCCTAGTTAAGCAGCAGATACAGGAAAAAAAAAAAAAGTTTTAAGCGTGCAGAAATGAAGACTGGTTAAGGAGAGCTGGCAACCTTGTGATTTCTGCTTTGCACTTCAAACTGCTGATAGGCATCTACTTTGCATTCCAGGAATGGCAGGTTTACAGCAGCTGCCTTCAGCTGGCAAGTAACTCCTCTTATAAACCTGCCAGTCACCCCTACCTTGTCCCAGGGGATGCACTGTGGCTTTAGCAGCCTCAGGAAGAATTATTGGTAGGAAAGAATTTAAGGACAGAGCATTAAGAATCAAGTGAAAATGCTCCACTCCTCTTCCTCACCTACTGGGACTCCAGTGTTCCCGCTCAAAAAAATACATATCCCCTACCAGATCCAGTAGAAGATCGCCCTCTTTAAATAGATTTTGTTTAATCCAAAGAGTATTATTTACGTCTACTCATATTTAACACAATACAACTAAGCTAATTGTCATTAGTACATCATGTGGTTGGTATCTGAAGGCATACAGCCACATCAGGAAGGATTTTTACAAGCTCATAAATAGCTGGTTTCAAAGCAATTTTATCTCCCAAGCAAGGCTGGTACTTATAACTACTTTATCCTTCTACGGTTATTTTAGACTTACCCCCAGTCAGCATCTGGTTGGCCTATACAAGAACAAGTGACAAAAACAGGGTAACTGACACCAAGCATAGAGTCTTCCCCTTCATCAGAAGACGACATTTGTAGGATCAGTTTCCACTGGAGCAAGCAGGCTGGGCCTTTCTAATGGGCTTACAGATCAGTTTGGCCAATAGAGCAAGGGACCCTGCTCGCAGGTGAAACCCTTCATCGTGTCAAAGCCAGCTGATGCCTGTTTGAGTGAGAGAGATGGGCAGGATCTGTCCGTGCCACTGGCACAATTTGGCATTTACTTAATGCCCAAAAGCTGTTATTGCTGTCTCTTTAAATACCCTTCATTCAATCAGTTGCTCAGTTTGTTTTCTAAATACTCTTTAAATTAAAGACACGTTTTGCTAAGGAACCCCCATGGAAAAAGCAAACAAAAACATCCCCCACCCCCAGTACACTCAGAAAACTTGTATTTAAAAGCGGTACTTAAAACTCTCATCAGCAAGTTTTCTTGCTGCTAGTGCTTAAAGCAATATAAAACAAACCAAGACCAAAAAATCAAGAGCAGTAGACTTCTGACACTTTAGTCTAAATTCAGGATTCCAAAGAGTAGGCTCGCCTTTCCCAAAGGCATTCCAAGCCGTGTTTCTCCAGCAACTGGTGTTTCATATTATTTTCTAGGTTTACTGAAAGGCAGAAGAGTGCCGTTTTCCAAACCTGGAAGGACAGACTAATGCTGTTGAACAATTGAGCAATTTTATTACTATCCTGTAAATCTCAGCCATAAATGGCTGGTTATGGGCTTAATAACATATACACATGCTCCTGCAAAACTGAGGAGCACAACAACATTCCCTTTTCTTTGAGCAGTCATTAGACAAATTTAATGTTTACTTTTGTGATAAGGCTGCACAGACATTTTCCCCCATGCCCTCTAAACAAGATCTGTAGGATGATATATGTGCTTTTACAGAAGGAAGAACTTACATTCTGGTCACCTTAACATGCCATATCTGGGAGGGAAGGAAAAAAGATTTGTAGAAGTGGCTAATTCCTCAGAAACAATAATGTTCATGAGTCCAATATACCAGACACGCTGTCTTAGGTGAACAGCAGCTTCCTTTGTTTACAGGGCTCTTGTTCAGCAATTGAAGGCTAATATTTTAACGCAATCAACTGAAATACCATACTTGTATTTTAATAGCAGTTAGAGATTAATTTACTGTGTTAAGATCTATAATGAAGATAAAGTACAAGACATTTTCACCAATCTTGAATTCAAGACAATGTAATGTAATACACAGAATCAAAGTTTCAAGTCTTTCAAAAGTTTCCCAACAGCAGCTGCATATTGGAAAGGTAATAATAAAAACCAACACGTCCAACTGCAGCAAGAGCAACTTCCATGCAACAAGAAATATTAGTGATAAGCTGGTAGATTCAGCTTAGCCCTTCAAGAAGGGCACTGAGTTGCCAGTTCCACAAAAGTAGCCTTAAAAACAGCTGGACTGTAAGAATTTCTTTGCAAGTGGTTAC